AATGTCCAGAGATCTAGAAGGATGACACCAACTAACAATCCAAGCAACATTATCTTCTCCTGATAATGAGATTGATGACTAACTTATAGGCCATCCTATAGCCTTCATCCAGCAGCTGGTGGAAGCAGGAGTAGACACCCACAGCTAAACACTGAACTGAACTGGAATCCAGTTGTAGAGAGGGAGGAGTGATGAGCAAAGGGGTCCAGACGAGGCTGGTGAAACCCATAGAAACAACTGACCTGAACAAGGGAGAGCTCTTGGTCCCCAGACTGATAGTTGAGAAACCAGCATGGGACTGATCCAGACCCCATGAACATGGGTGTCAGTGAGGAGACCTCGGAAATCTATGGGACCTCTTGTAGATCAGTACTTAGCCCTAGCATAGGAATGGACTTTGGGAGCCCATTCCACATAGAGGGATACCACCTCACACTAGACACACGGGGGGGGGGGACCCCTAGGCTCTATCCCAAAGGATATGCAGACTCTGAAGACCCCCCATGAAAGGCCTCACCCTCCCTGGGGAGCAGAAATGGTATGGGATAGGTAGGATGTTAGTGGGGGACAGGGGAGGAGGGGAGGGAAAGGAAACTGGTATTGACATGTAAAACAAACTTGTTTCTAATTTAGATAAAAATATGGATGGAAAAAAAAGTTTATCCTGGTAGCAAGAAACAGCTGGAAAATGTGGAAAATGGAGTTTGGTATGTGGAATAATCCTGAGTACTAAATATTGTTTGAAAAAAAAAAAAAAAAAAAAAAAAAAAAAAAAAAAACATCAAAGGGAGGAAGGACCTCAGTGTCTTTCTTGGCTTGTGAGGTAAGAAAGGACTCAAGGCCATCCTAACAGCATCCAGGCCTTTCACACAAAACTCAGATGGCCCACATTTAAACCTCTCCTCATTTTAAGCTGGGTGTTGCTTCATCATAAATGCTACATAATTTTTGCTAACTCAGAAAAGTAGAATATAAAACTACTATATAACATTCATAGTTAAAAATGGCAAAAATACACAAAAAGGTCTCTAAAATACAGTCAATAACTAAATGTCTACCTGCTAGTAATGGGGATAGAATCTAACCTAGTTTTTTCCATTATAATTAGACTGGAATCTCTTTCTTCTTCAGTTTTATTTTTTACATTCATTCACTGTGTGGGCAGTTGTGCACCTGTACAGAGCAACAAATGTGCATGTGCCTGGGCATGTGTGGGGGTCAGAGCACAACTCCAGTGAGTCATGTGCTCCTTCCACTACATAGGTTCTGGTATGGAACCCAAACCCATCACACTTGGCAGCACAATGCACTGAGCCATCCTGCCAGCCTCTTAGTATTACTACTAGGATGATGATAATGATGATGATGATGATGATAATGATGATGATGATGATTATTTTATACAGGATTGCATAAAACCATTTCCAAGCACTTAAATAATGTACTTTGGGCATGTCCCCCCATACCCAACCCCCCTTCCCACCTCTCCCCCATCCTGTTAATACCCTTGATTCCCCAGACCGTTACACTTCCACTTTCAGTGATCAGTACACATATACTATGTTTCTTTAGTGTCTAGGACCCTCAGAAAGTAAAAATCCATGCAGTAAGTCTGGATTATCTCCAGTTATATCCACTGTCCTGCAAAAGACATAGCTTTATGGCTCCAAAAAAAATTGCACTGTGTATATAAACCTTTTTCCTTACCCATTCATCTGTTGCTAGACACCCAGGTCAGCTCCACAGCTTAGTTACTGTAAACTGATGTGCAGGCCCTCTTGTGTAGTGGGTTGATTTGGAGCATTGGGGGTAAATATCAAGAAGTAGGAGACCTGGAAAGTGGTGGTGCACTCAGGAGGCAGAGGCAGGAGAATCTCTATGAGTTCGAGGTCTGGTCTAACAGCCTGGTCTACAGATCAAGCTCCAGGACAGCCAAGGATACCCAGAGAAACCCTGTCTTGAAAAAACTCAAAAATGAAGCAGTAGAGTTGGATTTGTTTTAACAGTTGTTAGGTTTTTATTTTGCTTTGTTTTGAGGTGGTTCCATACTTCTCTCTTGTTCTTACAGTGTACCCTGTACTATGAAGCATGTGTAAAATAAGAACTTGTGTATCAAACCAAACAAATGGCAAAAACATTTTTCACAAAATGGAGATTACAAAGTGTTCAGCTTTACACAAATCTTGAGAAAAGGTAAAAGTTCCTACATGCTAATGTTCACACACATTCTTGTTGACATATGCACTTAATAGTGAGAAAGCATGCAGAGGGATAATCAATCAAATACAGACTTCAGATGAGTATCTCGAGGAGGGAGGAAAAACACTGGCTCTGTCAGAAATAACCTTTATGCTCCAATGTCAGTATGTGATGTGTGGCGTTCATCAAAGAGTCACAGAGCAACAGGGGTACTAGGAGCCTGTCCCATAGGTTGTGGCTGGCATCTGCTTTACCTCAGAACTCAGAGAGTTGGGAAGTTGCAGGCACTTGATCGGAAAAGGGCTCAATCTCAAACCCCATAATATTCATCAGAAAACAGATGTTTTGGAAGAGGGCTGTACCAGAAGACCACAAACCTGCCTCTCTGTAGTACTAGCCCATAGGAAAATGAATTTCTCATCATCGGGGACTTTAAACCACTGTCTTAGCCAAATCATCACACCAGCCATTTTCCCATTTCTCTGTGCAGGCATCCTTTTACGAAAAAAATATAGTTTTAAAATGTTTTTCTTTCACTAATTTCTTTAATCTATTACAGAGTAAGGGTTATGTTGCCCATAGTTCCATTCGAATGTTACCTTTTCCTTCCCTCAACCCCATACAGGGTTTCTCTGTGTAGCTCTGGCTGTCCTGAAACTAGCTCTGTAGAGCTGGTTGGCCTCAAATTCAGAGATCCACCTGCCTCTGCCTCCCAAGTGCTGGGATTAAAGGCGTGCAGCAGCACCACCACCACCTGGCACACTTTTTCCTTTTAAAAGCCAATTCTACTTTCTCCAGCTCCTCCTTTTCTGTGATAACCACGATTACCAGACTGAAAAACACCCTCTGTATATAAATCACAAAACTCTCAAAACATAAAAATAAAGGCAGTGCATTCAACTTCTGAAATACTATTATTTGTTCTCATCTCTAATACAAATTATACTGTATTTTAAAAACAAATATTGGATCAAATCTTGAAAACTACAGAAATGAGAAATCATGATACCCAGTGAATATCAAAATTTGCTCACTGCTAAAGTGGTAACCAATGATTTCCCTACTTTAAAAAGTTATTAAAATTTAACATGCAGCTTGATTTCCCAACAGGAATATAGCCATACACAGCCCCAGCTGTTAAGGGAAAGCTGCACTTCACGCTTTATAATGCTAGCTAATAATTAAAACTGACAGAATTAGAAAAACTTTCACTTTCATTTTCTAGCCCTTAGGAGACAAATTCAGACAAGGAGTAATTAGTGGTAACTCTGGTACAGTGCCAAGATCATTACACGAATCGCTCTCCTATCCGAGTGAGGAAAGAGTAACTTCACAAGAAAGATAAGGCCCCTTAATGCAGAGATTAACCAAGATGTAGAAAACAAAATAAACAGCTCTCTCTGACACAACCCCCAAGACCATTTACTATCACTCCAATGCTTATCCTTGGCTAAAAAGGAGTTTGAGGCCAGCCTGGTCTACATAAGGCCTTGTCTCGAAAAATTAAAAGAAAAAGAAAAAAAAAAAACATATAGACCTTTTCTCAAGTAAACAAATAATTGAGTTTAATCCGATCCCAAAGGTGCAATTCAGAGGAAGTTTTGATCAGACGGCTTCAGCTAATTTCTGGAGTTCATATTTCAAGAATCCTTATTAACAAATGTTTGACTTAAACCTAATCAAAAGGTGCCATATTATTCTTCATGAATTTTCATTACATGGTGTTAATAAGGCCAGCTGCAAACACAATGCTTGAGCTAACAGCAGAAATAAGGGGAAACAATGGTCTTTAATAATGGAAGTAACATAACTATGGTGCAGCTAGAAGAAAATTCATCTGCAACCACACATAAACTTAATTCAATGTGGGATAAAGATCTAAAATCCAAACACTTCAGAAGTCCAGGCAGGAGCTAACCTGAGCTACATATGAAATAGTGTCTCCAAAAAAAGAAGAAAAATCTAAAATTTCCAAGAACTATATTAAAGTTTGCTATACTAAATCCAAATTACTACCTCATACATTAAAAACTAAAACAATGAAAATGTGCCACGATTTTAAAGGTTACACTATACGTAAGCTAACTAAGAGGAATAACATGAATTTACCATAGGATGCTTGAATGATGCAAAGAATACTGAACTAAATTGGGGGGGGGGCAGTTTCAAGACAGGGTTTCTCTGTGGCTTTGCAGGCTGTCCTGGAAGTACTCTTGTAGACCAGGCTGGTCTCGAACTCAACAGAGATCCACCTGCCTCTGCTTCCCAAGTGCTGGGATTAAAGACGTGCGCTACCACCACCCAGCACCACTGAACTAAACTGACATCGACAACTTAATATGACTTTGGCCAAGGCAATAAATTTATCTGTTCATAAGTTTCATCACCTGTCTTTAAATTTATTATAATCCTTAGGTATAACTTATTAAAATTGCCTGGCAGAATATTTGATGCACAGGAGGTGATGGAATATGAGAAACAGTAGCAAGACTATTTTAAGAACTATACACACAGGAGTATAATCACCATAGCCCCCAGAGCAGCATTCTCTAGAAAGCCTTCAGGTCTACCAGGAAAATGCTCACTTATACCTGCCCACTTGTTACACCAGGCAAAGCAAACACAGAATCCCCTGAGCTCCAGACTCATAATCCAAAATCTTTTCTCAGGTGTCAGGCTTAAGAGAAATGAAATCATGGCCCCTGAACTCAGTTCTCCCCACACTTCCCGGCATCTCAGAAAACTAACTGACTCTTGCACCATCCTAATCTTTTTTCTCTTTTTTAAGGACAAGGTTTCTGTGTATAGCCCTAGCTATCCTAGAACTTGCTCTGTAGACTAGGCTGACCTCAATCTTAGAAGTCCACCTGCCTCCGCCTCCCTGTACTGGGATTAAAGGTATGTGCCACCATCACCACTAATCCCTATCTTTATCTCCCCCACTGATACCCCATCAGAATACCCAACTTCAAAACAGTTGAGATAATCTTTGGAACCTACTAGAGACACATTTTCACTTCCATCCCACCCATTTTTCACGCTGTTTTCCAAAGGTTAACCCACATGAACTTTTGAAAATGTAAAACGTTATTATTTAACACCTCCCTCCTTTGGGTTTCCCAAAAATGTCACTTCACTTTCCCAAAATGTGACTTCTTCCCTGATCCATGTATTTTTTTAAGTCGCCACTTCTGCCCGCAAACCCCACCCTCATTGTTTTACCACTGTCCATAACTCATTTCACCACAGGACAAGCTATATACATGTTTACAGTCTACTCCTCCTCAACAGATGTAAATTCCTTGGGAGAAGACACTGTTCTTCAGCTATACTTTCTGCATTCAAGGGTACAAGTAGCTTGGAAGAAATATCAAGGAAAAAAACTGAAAAAATTTTAAGTAATCTTAGAATGGTGTCCTCCCGCTCCCCAGACATATTACTGAGTGGTCTATATTATCTAAAGACAAAGTAAACAAAAAGTAAATTGGGGAATTGCTTAATTGATATTCCAACCAGATACCTTCATAAGACAGTTCCTAAAAATTTCAAAGTGAAGTTGACAGCAATCAAGTTAATACTGCAAAATATTTTTGTGCTTTCTGTTCCAGAACGATAAGTTTTACAGCAAAAGTAGACTAAGAACAACCAGGAAGTGGTTCACCATTAATTTAAATGTGGTTGGGTTTTTTTTTTCTTCTAATTCCCCTGAGTCTACATCTATAAACTTCCCTGGGTTTTAAATGAATTCTAATCAGGTCTCTCATTTTCACACAACCTTCTAGGATTATTTAAGCAAGGTGTACAGGTATTTTATAACCACCGTGGCTTAACTCTGGACAACAAAGCATCCTTCTCAAATTAGAGGTTACTCGGTGTGAAAGGAGGACCAACTGCACTGACTGAATTCAGCACGCTTGAGGAAAAAATGTTACAAAAATAAACCTGTTGCTTACATTCAAAACCCAAGCATACTCTGCCGTTGCTTTGTTTTCCATGGCTGACAGCTTTCCTCTCCAAATCAAAAATGTCACTTTAATTAATGGATAGTTTATTTCTATATTTATATAGATATAGCGCCCCCTCCCTAATAGTCAATTCTCATATATCATCACCTAAAAGTTAAGAAAATGCACTAACTAGAAAAAACAGCGGGAATCCTGTTTACAAAACCAATACAATACAGAATTCCCAAGTTTGTGGTCCTGGCCCCTAAGCATGACTCAGAAACAGCAGGTGGCATGGTAACAATGAGCCATAGCAACAGGCAGCCATGACAACAGTGTGCGATGATGACATCGAATAGCAATGATAACAAGACGCGCAGGTGGGGGTCAAACATGTCATCAGGACTCAGGGATGCGGCTTAGGGTCCGAGAAAGCGGATAATCTTGGGAGTCCAGGGACCTGGAGAAGGGAACTTTTAAAAAAAACAGGATCCTGCGCCCTGCCCACTCCTAGGGGTCCTCAAAGGAAAAAAAAAAAAAATCAAAGGAGCCAGGAAGGGTACAGAATAGCAAAGGAGCCAGGAGAGGACAGACGGGAGGAAACCGATCAAAAGGGCGGCGATGAAGGGGACGGACACCCATCCACAGGGCGGCACTCACCAGGGTCGTTCCAGCACAGGGCAGGGCCGGCCACCAGCAGGAAAGACAGCAGGCGCAACAGCAGGCAGCGTGCGGCTCCCGGGCGGCCGACAGCGGCCACGGCCATGGCGCTGGGTGAAGACGGTGCTTGGCGGCCCGAGACCCGCTGCGGAAGTGCTCCCGCCGCTGCGCAGCGACACCGGGAACTCACCACCGAGAGCAAAGCTACTGACTGCAGCGCAACGCCGCGAGACAGCACTGCGACCTGCGCCACTCTGACGTCACTACCGCTGCGGCACGTAGGCGCCCGTGATTGGCGGCGTCCTGCCCCGCCTCCAGGGCTCCGCCTCTTTGAGGGCGGGACCGGACAGGGAGCTGTCGCGTGGGTGGAGTCTAGGTTCAGACTCCATCGGGAGTGTCGTGTCTGGCTGGCGACAATGTTCTGGAAGGTTCCTAGTGTGAAGCTACCACAGTTTAAAGGCTAAAAATTTTCTAGAAGGGAAATCAAGGAAGTAGTTTGGTAATACGTGTATCCAAACCTCTCCAAAGGACGTTATTTTGCGGGTTGAGTACCTAACACCGTCCTGCTTAGGACTGGTGTTCTAGTACTCTGTCCTAAATAGGAATCAGGTGACAGGTACCAAGGGAATGACGTGACTTCCGAGCTCGGAACCTTTGCACGGTTCCTAAAACATGAAAGCCTTTAGAATGTACAAGAAGCAAAAAGGAGGCAATAATGAATGAGTAGATAACCACCCATACAAAAACGTTTCTCTGCGCTTTGAATCCTGCGAGTCAATGAGTTTTTTGGATGTGTTCATTCGTTCAATAAATATAAATTGAATGCCTAATATAATAAAATATAAAATAAAACAGTCACTGTTTTAGCCTTGGGAAATAGCAAGGGCCTTGTATTCAAGAAACTTAGGATGACGTAGCACAGGACAAACGGAAAATAATAGGTAGTGGTAAATTTGTTATCAAAAATATAAGATAATAAGCACCAGGAGGCAAATTCAGGAAGAGCGGGGCTCAGGAAATGACTTTGAAGCTTGAGATGTGAACGATAAGAACTTGCCTAAAAGAGAAAAAAAAAAAAAAAAAAAAACAGGAGCCTGACCTATCCTGGGACACGGTGGATTAATCCCCATCCACCTACCCACCCCGCTCTGGCTATGTTTTGGGGAGCAGTCAATTATCCACTCAGCCTTTTTATGCTGAGCATCTAACACATACAGCAGTACCGACCAGGCGGGTACTGTAGTGTAGATACCGCGGAGAATTTGTAGATTGTAAATAGGAGGCATGAGATAGACAAGCAAAGCCAGTAAGGCAAAGTAAATTTCTGGGGATTTGAAAAACATGGGAAGCTTTGAATGGAACCCAGCAACTTTAAACTGCGCAAAGATAATAGGGAATTCGGTCCTTAATTCGTTGAATTTGAGCTGTGTTAATTATCCAAGCAGGAAGGGGAAGTAGACAAAAGATAGCCACTCCCAAAGTTCAAAGCCAATGTATCTGGCTGTTATGTTATTAATATGAAGATGGTATTTAATGCCACAGAAAGAGACAGGTAGTCATAAAATTTAGACAAGGCAAAGAAGGGAGGAAGACCCAAGTTAGGGGAATGCTGCTGTTTCTAACTTCAGTAGAAGATCCTAGACAGGATCTGAAAAATAATATCTGGTAAAGAGAGAAAGGAAGGGGAGCATCGAAGCGACTCAATAGATAAAAGCCATGGCCACGAAGTCTTAAGATTGATCCCTCACACCCATATGGGCTGGTTGGCTTTTTTGTCAACTTGACACAAGCTAGAGTCATCTGGGAAGAGGGAACCTCATCTGATTGGCCTGGAGGCAAAACTATAGGAACATTTCCTTGATCAATAATTGATGTGGGGGCTGGAGAGATGGCTCAGAGGTTAAGAGCACTGAATGCTCTTCCAGAGGACCTGAGTTCAATTCCCAGCAACCACATAGTGGCTCATGACCATCTATAATGACATCTGGTGCCCTCTTCTGGTGTGCAGGCATATATGGAGGCAGAATGTTATATACATAATAAATAAATAAAATCTTTAAAAAAAATAATTGATGTGGGAGGGCCCAGTTCACTGGATGGGGGCGGGGATACAACTGGAGCAGGTGGTTCTAGGTGGTATACGAAAGCAGGTTGAGCAAGCCATGGAGAGCAAGCCAGTAAGCAGTGTTCCTCCACAGTCTCTGCTTTGGTTCCTGCCTTCAGACTCCTGCCTTCAGTTTCTACCCAGAGAGAGAGAGAGAGAGAGAGAGAGAGAGAGAGAGAGAGAGAGAATGAGAGAATAAAAAGTATAAAGGAAGAAAACAAAAAAAGAGAAGTATTAGTAGCAATATGATAGGTGGAAGAGAAAATGGTCAATAGCAGCCACTATTGCTGGAAAATGGAAGCAAGAGTAAAAGTGACTTTGGGGTTTTGCAATGTAGAATCACCTAATTACTTTTACAAGAAAACTTCTGCTACTTGAGCCTCCATTATGTGCCATTTCTAGTTCTAGACTGTGATTTTAAAACATGAAAAGGTACCCTAATTTATATTCTAATGGGAAACTAGGCAAATAAATAATGGGTGCCCTAAAAAAGACAGCAGCTGATGTGATGGGCGTTGCCATAATAAAGAGAATTGTTAGATAAGATCCTCTCAGAAGCCAAGAGGAGCAGTGATCTAAAACATGAGGCTACTTGTGTGTGGGGGGTTATTTCCTCCTCTCTATTTTCACAGTGGAGAACATTTCTGTGGCCTGATGTGTTCTGGAATAATTTGTCTATGCAGCAAAGAGTTCTCAATTGGACATCACTCTGACATCCTAAAAGTCATTTCAATTCTGATACGTCTGCTGGGAGACAGATCGTATCAGTTCAGGGCTAAGTATATCCAGGTACCCCATACATCAGGTGCCAGTCTCAAATCCCATACAGTGACAGGCGATTCTCACTCACCAGATGTAAATCAACCATTTCTCTGACACACATACACCCAATGAAGTTTATCTGGAACGTGCATCAGAATAAAATGAAGAAAAGCTATATGGAGGAGGGGACATGGGTAGGAAGAATAAATAAACCAACATTAATCAATTGACCAAAAGGACCTTGTGGCATTTAGGAGTTCACTATACTATTGTCAGTACTTCTCATATACAGCATTTAAATTTTCCCATAATAAGAGTTGTTTAAACAAGGACTAAAAATTTCTCTGTGCTTTGTCTGAGTTGGTCTGTAAGAATTAGAATGCCCAGTGATAAAAAAGGTAATAGATACATCTTTTAAAGAATACATGTGGGGCTGGAGAGATGGCTCAGAAGTTAAGAGCACTGACTGCTCTTCCAGAGGTCCTGAGTTCAATTCCCAGCAACCACATGGTGGCTCACAACCATCCGTTATGAGATCTGGTGCCTTCTTCTGGTGTGCAGATATACATGGAAGCAGAATGTTGCATACATAATAATTAAATAAAATTAAAAAAAGAATACATGTGAAAGCTTTCTTGCATGTATGATCGTACACCACATATGTGCCTGGTGTACTCGGAGGCCAAAAGATGGATCTCCTGCATCTAGAGTTACAAAATGGTTGGAAGCCACTGTGTGGGTGTCAGGGACTGGACCAAATCCTTTGCAAGAGCAGCAAGAGCTCTGAACCACTGAGACATCTTGTCCAGCCCCAGTCAAACATATCCTAAGGAATTAGATGCACAGCAGTTACCCAATAAAGAAGTCTCTCATCTTACCCATCTCTGAGGATTAATTTGGGAGGTTAGGAAGTCATAAAAGGTAACGAGTTTTCACTACTATGTGATACGCTTAAAGAACACTTAAACATGAAACATTAGTGAACATAAAGGATTTGTCTGGAAAACTGCAGATAGCTCCCTTTGGGGACAATGATTTTCAAGCCATAGTTTGAATGGCAATTGCTCAAGATGCATCTTAACATTTTAGGTTTCTGGGCTTTGTCCACAAAAGTTTCTAATTCAGATCATGTAGTAGAACCCGAAAGTTTAAAAAGCATCCTGAAAGTCAGGCGGTGGTGGCACATGCCTTTGGTCCCAGCACTCGGGAGGGAGATCTCTGTGAGTTCGAGGCCAGTCTGGTCTACAAGAGCTAGTTCTAGGACAGCCCCCAAAGCCACAGAAAATCCCTGTCTCAAAAAAAAAAAAAAAAAAAAGCATCCTGAAGAATTCTGTCATAGGCGATCTTTGAATGCAACATTTGAAAACACCATTTTTAAGGTCTCAAGTTTCCGGTCCCTAAGCAGTATCATGAAACCAAATGAGTCATTTGAGTGATGAGTGGTGACTTGATTTGTTTTTTGTTTTATTTTTGTTTAGTCCATTGTTTTTTGTTCCTTAGACATTATCAGGAGACCCAAATAGACCTTTAAGTGATTATTGCAGTGTTTTTTGCTTTGTTTGCATTTTTGCTACAAAGACTGAATTCCCTGGGAAAGTTAAAGAGGGCAATGCCCTTTAATTCAGTGACTATGGGAGCAAATATATATAGAAGCCTCTGACCAGATAAGCAATCTGACTTTCCCTTTGATGTCATTAAAGACAGCTAATGCTCAGTACATTTGTATTCCAAATAAATTAGGGAATACCATTTAAGTGCAGGAGCTTCTGGAAGCTACCTCACAAAGCACTTTCTAAATGCATTTCCTCAGGACCAAGCTACAAGCCTTCAAGATGAACCTATTACTTTCCAATCACAGTCATCACCACTGACCAACAACATACACACAACCATTCCTGCTTTTGAAGATGGAATGCCAAGAACAAAAGGAGAGCAGGTGTAGTGGTGACAGTTGAAATGCGATCATTGACTTCTCCACAATTTTGTGTCTGAGGTGCACAATGCCAGGAATATAGATGAGTACCTTTGGTCTTTCCAAAATGTGGAAATGTCAGAATTTATTGAATAATAATAAATCACAAAGTTTAGTGATCTCTTTTTTTTAAATAATTTAGTGTTTTATGTGTATTGGTGTTTTGACTGTATGCGTGTCTATGTGAGGGTGTCAGATCTCCTGGAACTGGAGTTACAGTTGTGAGCCACCATATAAGCTCTGGGAATTGAACATAGGTCCTCAGGAAGAGCAACCAGTGCTCTTAACCACTCAGCTATCTCTCCAACCAAAGTTTAGCGATTTCAGCGGCAGTAATTTGCCATAAAATCTGCCTACCTTGTTGTCTTGGGCTAAGTGAATTCAAGTTCTTTATCCCACTCTTAATTACTAATATTAACTCAAAAAAAAAAACTTCAGCATACAGCCATACACTTACATGTCTCTATACATATACATAGGTTACAGCATGAATACATGTTAGAGACTGAAGCAGAGCTCATGAGGTTTCAGGAGTGGACTAAGTTTGTAAAACTAAGACCTGGCACCAGACCAGTGCCAATGGAAGTCAGGTTTGAGAAAGAAGCTGCAGAAAATCAGCCTTGGTGTGAACAAGCCCACTGGATCCAGAGCAGTTAAATGGAGGATCAGGTCCAGATCCCAACCAATTACTAGACAGGCAGCCAGTGGAGTAGGCTGGGTCAACAGTGGGGAACAGTCAGGAAGTCCTTGGTCCTTGACATGCGCACCAGGTATCCTATGACAGTTGGTCTACAGCCAAGGCATCGCGGTGTTAAGTATACAACACTTTATGGGGTTCAGGCAAGAGTTACACTCTTTCCACAATCTTTTCTGTCCCATAAATTCCTGGACCTGGTTTCCCTGATATGACTTTAATATGCCCTGCCTCCTAGTTTCAATTCTCATGAATAAACTTACAGGGTGACTCCCTTTCACTCTGAGCAGGTACAAATTCTAGAAGTTCTTAGACAGGGACTACACAATCTGGAGCAATCCATTGGCTCCTCCTCTCTCCAACTTTCCAAGCTCCCTACTCCATTTGTAGGCAAAGTGCACCCCCCCACACACACACACTCCACATACCCCCAAGACACACACAAACAAACCAACCTCTAGTGTCCATTAAGAGAAGGCTGCAGACCAAACCAAAGGATTACCCTTTCCTATTTCCTAAATATTCCTAGGATCAAGGTTTCCTCTGCCTTCTTAATTAGTTTCAAGGCTGAGACTGGCATAGCAGCCCTAAGGCAGATCTAAAGGGGACACTGTATTTCACTGGCCTAGAAGGCTCCAAAGAAGGGAAAACCCAATCGCTAGATCTGGGAGCCAAAGGGCATTTTAACGAAGGGCAATACACAGTGGGGAAGTGACTAGATGAAAGAAGTGTGGGCTTTCGGAGGGAAACTAATAAAGGCTATTTTTGTAACATTTCTGCAGACTCCAATCGGTGCTGCTTATAGAGACAGCTGCCTCTTCTCAGAAGTGAAAATATTTACAAATGGGAAAAATTGTGTTGCAAATATCTTTTTATGTCACACGGGGAAGTTCCTGTTACCTTTACAAGGAGAATCTTATGCTCTTATTTTGTACAGAAAAGAGCGCGGACAATTCATCCATGTTTTGTTTTTGGTTTGTTTTTTATATTTTGGAGTGGAGATTCTTCTTACTAGCGATTATCATCGTTGCAATTTTATTCTTTTTTTTTTTTTTTTTTGAGTACTCTCCCTTTTTAGTCCACAAACAACCCGACAGCAGAAACTACACCTGCTTTTGCTCATCCCAAAGCCTACTCCGGTTCCCCAGCATATATGTGGGAAACTTGCAAATATATAGCGGATCTCTGCGGGGCCCCATCCCTTTTGTCACCAAGGAGAGAGCGATCCTCACAGACTCCCAAGAAGATAATGCAACTCTACTATCCATGACTCGGCCCGCTGCACCCAAATAGGGAGGGGGGAAGGTCTCATCAGAGCCCCGATCTGTGTAGGAACCCAAGGAGAGATGCAGAGACCACCCATCTCCCGAGTCACAGACTGGCTGGTGGAGGGAGGAAGGCGCTCGCGGTGCAGAACCTGAAGTGCTCCGGCAAAGACATCGGCCGCGTCTTCACGAGCTCCCCACGCCGCCGTCGCGCGTCTTGGGTCTCCCGGCCACCGCCCGGGTCGTGGAGGCAGGAGCGACGTCACCGCCATGGCGGGCATCAAAGGTGGGCCTGGGGCGCGGGCCGCGGGGACGGGGACCGCGGGGATAAGGAGGGACGGCGTGGGGTCGACCCAGCCTCGGCTCCTCAAGCCGTCGCGCTCCGCCCCTGGACCAGAGCCGGGCAGCCGGGCCACTGAAGCGTTGTGAGCGAGTTTGCACCCAGAGACATTGAGGGCTGCCATCCGGAGGGATGCCCGTCCCCGCACATCAGTCAGTGTAGTTTCCCACCCGAGGCACGAGCGCAGTCCTCTCCCAAGCCTGGGCTCTGCATCCACTCTCGGGATCCCGGTGCACCATCTTTCCCTTGCCTCTAAATCGGATGCATCGGATTTTCGGGGTTTGTACAGTGCAGCAAAGCCCGGATGCTAACCCAAAGTGCTCCCGCTTCCTTTCCACCCACAGTTGCAGGTTGACACTTTTTTAAGTTGTGATTTTTTTTTTTAAGATAAGGTAACTAACACCTTGATAAAAGATTGCTTGTTTGTTGCATTCTTTGGAGAGACGGAATGTTGCTCGGTAGTTTTGCCCCTGGGGTAAGAAGGAAAGTTTTCGGTTTACTTATCAGCGGATCACTTTGGTTTCTTGACCTGCTTTGTAGAAGAGACAGCCAAGCAGGAAGTAAACAGTTGGATAGTTATGCCTCCCACCTCGCTGGAAAGGGCGACTTTGGTTGAGCTTTTTTCCAGGGTCACATTCTTTTCCGGCGTCTTGTTTATTCTCGGTGCCTGAAAAACGTTTCGTTTCCCATATAGAACCCTGTCATCTGAGTTACTAGGATACTTTCAGATCTCTTTTTGAACAATAATAGACCCTTTCAAATCCTAATGTGAACGGAAGTTACTGTGAAATGCTGCAGTTTTTAGGATGTTGCCTGTGCCTCTTCCTCATTTCTTCAATGTCATTAATGGGGGAGTCTTAACAAGAAAATAGATTTATGATTCTTCAAATGTGGGTAATGTTAATCTAGTGACAATGACTCCAACGGAATTTTACTTACTTCTTAAAGATTTCAGTGGGTTTTAAAGTTATGATTGTTCATCGAGATATTTCTTCCTGTTGATTTATATATTGCCTTTATATCAAGAAGTGTAGCTGTAGAAACCATTACATATTTCTTAATCGGATTGCCTGTTACTTTGTGGTAAATTATATTTTCTGCTAACTCCCAGACTGAGAAACTTGACCCCGTCACCTATGTCTTTGCAGTCACAGAGCCATCATCATCTTGTCTCTAGAGAATTTTTGCTAGGTAATTGGGCTGTTCCATCCCTGGCCTGGAGGCTTTGGGAGTAGAAACCACACTCCTGTTTCATCTTTCAAATGTTGCATCACTCAATTACTGTGTGAATTCTTACCGTACTGGTGCGTCACTTAAGACGCCATTTATATAAAATAAGCCACCTAGTTGCCAATGTCATAAGTCTGAGGAAACATGGCTGGTTTGGGGAGCACTCTTATCATCTTTTATCTGTAATGACTTAAGAGATGAGGTGTCGAGGACTGGAGAAATGGCTCAGAGGTTAAGAGCACTGGCAGCTCTTCCAGGGGTCCTGAGTTCAATTCCCAGCAACCACATGGTGGCTCACAGCCATCTATATAGTGAGATCTGGTTCCCTCTTCTGGCATGTAGGCATACATATAGACAGAACATTATATACATAATAAATAAATCTTTTTAAAAAAAGAGAGATGAGGTGTCACATGCAGTTGCCTTTGAGCATCTTCTAAATATTGAGTATATTTGAATGCATAGAAATATGACCCTAGGGTATCTCGATTCCCCCAAACAGTTCCATGGGGCTTGATTTTTCATATGTGAGTGTTCAAAAGGAATTGGATCTTGTATAAATAAATGTATCAGTAATTTTATGGGCTGGAGAGATGGCTCAGTGGTTAAGAGTGCTTACTGCTCTAACAGAAGAGCCAGTTCAGATCCCAGCACCCCACACACACACACATACCCAATAGCTCACAAAAACCTGTAACTCCAGCTCAGTAGGCACCTCACTGACACACATATAAATACACACACCCATACTAAAATATTTTTAAATTATTTATTTTAATTTAGTTTAAAATATTTTCAATTAATTTTTATAGTATCTGTAGTAGAAGCTTGTGTTTTAAATGTGTTTCAGTGCTGGAACCTTATTTTTGGGTTTCTTGATTTTTTTTTTAAATCTTTAAAGTTAACATTTGTTATTTGAAGGTTTTTGTTGTCGTTTTGGTTTTGTTTTGTTTTGTTTTGAGAC